ATATTCTTATAGCTGATGTTAAGACGTTTCCGAAACACTGATTACACACCTTTTTCTATAAGAACTTTCCGAGTTATGTGTTTTGATAGTTGCAATACCGCCGGCAATACTGAATAATGCAATACCGAATAATTAGCATTATTTACGGTATATCGCGTGGAGGTTGCAAGGTCACATTTACATCTCTTTTGTGTGTGTGTGTGTGTGTGTGTGTGTGTGTGTGTGTGTGTGTGTGTGTGTGTGTGAGGTCAGAAGGAAAGGAAAATCCTTTTTGCACACCATAGGGAGTGGCGAGCTACCCTATATGCTGGACTTGACCTCGCACAAAAAATAACAGTTGTGTGGACCTATACCAGTTAAAAACCTCAACCTCAATTCTTCATTGACTTTCTCTTACCCCCGTGGGACCGCCGTGAAGCATTACTTCATGGGGATGGTCTCAGCCGTAGATATTCTTCTCTTTTCGCCTATTCACTCTTCTTGAAGGGGGACCATTGCTGACATTATTCTCCTCCTCTCTTGCTTCTTTCGTCGTAGCTTCTTCAATACCGCCGTAGCGAAACGACTAACGGCTTTCCAGCTTTCCTCCAAGGCCAGTATGAATTGCATCAGATTCTCAGTTGTCGAAACCCCTCCTAGTGCTTTAGTCAACTCCTCTCGCTCCATTGAAAAACGCGAGCACTGAAAAAGTTGTTGTGTATATGAACATTGAGGGTGATAGTCTTTGTTTTTTTTCTAATCGTGATCAGTATCGCTTTTGTTTTGTGTTCAGCCAGTTATAGTTCAGCTGAAGACATCCAGTGCTGAATTTGATCGTACGAATCGTCGAATATGCGTTGAATCTCCTCCAAAAGCTTAACCACGATGACAAACATTGCATCATCCGCAAAGGCAGTTAGTTCAACTCCCAGTGGCAGCTCCAGCTTCAGTAGGGCGTCGTACATGGATGTTCCATAAAAGTGGTTCAAGTACCGAGCCTTGATGTACACCCTCTGTAACTCCGTACTCTTGGGGCCCATCCTTCGTATCGTATCTAAAAGATCTGTCACTAAGATAGCTCTTCACCATCCTCTTGAGGTACTCTGGAACCTCCAGCCTATCCAGTGCCAGACAAGTGTTATTCCACTTGGCAGTGTTAAAAGCGTTCTTGATGTCGAGAACGACGATCAAGCAGTATTTTTTGAAACTTCTCTTTCATCGTTTGACAACTATAGTTTCTCTCGCCGAGTTAACCATTCGATCGATCGCATCCAATGTTGATCTGGATATTCTATAGCCGCATTAGTAATCAATTAGAGAATTTCCAATATAGGCTTCAATTCTTGTTATAGATTATTTGCTTCAGAATCTTTCCTGCTGTGTCTAACATACACAGAGGGCGGCAGAACAAAGGGTCCTCCAGTGGTTTTTGTCTTTGGGCAAAAGCACGAGTCTCTGCCACTTCCAACAATTATGGAAGATTCCTTCACTGAGGCATGCATGGTAAATGTCCATAAACATTGCAGGTGCTGCTTTTATCGCAATTTTGATGGCAACATTCAGGTTGTTGTCCATTCCTGGCGTCTTCTTGTGTCCCACTTTCCTACAAGCTTGGAGTAATTTCACACTTGTGTGATAGAAGGAATGACTTCCTCTTCTTAACTGTTGACCTGGTCGAGCCGCTGTTGTGTTGGAAATAGTGTTTCCACTATCTCTCTGAGTTGGTCAGGACAGGTAGGTTGCTGCCTTAACTGACTTTTCAGCCGTGTCATGACCACCTTGTATGGCCTGCCCCACGGGTCTTTCTCAATTTCGTCCAAGTCTGCCGCTTGCTCTGCTTAATTGCCTTTGTAAATTTGCGCGAGCTTCCCTATACTTCTCTTCCAGTTCTAAGTGCGATGGTTTGCCTCTGGCTCTCTGGGCCAGATGCCTGGCGTGATTGCTTTTCCTTCTAACTTTAGCTACTACATCGTTCCACCGGTACGCCGAAGTATGTAAATTTCTATTTCCTCTTCTGGGCATGGTAGCTTCACAAGCTTTGGCCACTCTATGCATCACTTCAATAACTTTCCACTCTTCGGAATGTTCCTCGAGTCCCCCCCCCCCCCC